AGGTAGGGTTTAACCCGCTAAGAGATATTGAAAGAGACTGTTATCATTATGCTTAAAATTGCTTAAAATACCAGGATATTGAAGGATTTTCTCGACTTTTTCAATTTGTTTTCGATCAAGACGTACCTACTATAAAAACGCTCGTTGCTATGTACAACTATTTTATTCGTTTTGTACACGAACGTTTATTTTTGAGTAGTGGTTGATGAACTTCGTTATTTTGGTCGTCTTTTGCTATAAAAATAGTTTCTTAAATAAGTCATGGTGATGGAAAAACTCATGCTAGAAAATTGGTCAAGAAATGTCACAACAACTTGTTACAATACAAACACGTTTTCTTTTAGGTTATTCGAATTTTCTCAAAAATTCGATAAAAACACCGCTGTATCATCTGATCTTCATTTTGTTGCATGAAAAAAGGTAGCACAGATTTGATGTTAGGCATCATGTTTGATGTACAGAAAATAAATCAAATATTGCATCGCCATGAAAAATAAGACAAAAGTAAATGGACACCGAGTAATAGACAGTGTGTCACTGATAAAAAAGGTTCGATACTGCCAGTATGCATGACATGCCATACGTCACTGGCATTACATGCCAGTACTATCGGTGCTATCTAGATTAACTAAAACTGAGAAGTTAAAAAGTTGATTTCGATATTCATATTTGAGTCAGAATACAACATTTTATACTTCTGTTGTCATGTTTTGAACTGCCCATGTATGACTGATCCATTTCTTTCTTTCAATAAAACTATTTATCAATCAACATCTCATTATGACTACAAATATTCAGATATTTCTAATGATAATAATAAGGTCAATTTACAAATTAGTATATTCTTTAAGACCACCAGTTGTGCAAAAGAATAAGACATGACTAACGTAATTATCTGACTCCTTTCAATAACAGAAATAGCAACATCAACCACTGATATTTTCTTTTGGTAAGAAATTGATCAGTCATAGACAGTTCATAACATGACAATAGAAGGTACAGAATTTTTTATTCTGAACTTTGTTGTTTAAGTGTAAATATTAGTATTAAAATCAATTTTCTAACACTATTTTATTTGACCCAGTTAGAGTAAATACTTTTACATCTAGTGAACATATTTTCAAGGTAGTTGAGCAAGTATAATATACTCTTTATTTTGTAACATATATTTCAATTATTATAAAAGTTATATTTCTTCTTGCCAAAACAATATTTTGTTCGTTGTTGTTTCCGTTTCTTTCGTTAAACGTTCACATGATTAATATTTTTTATTTTCCTCCTGCTTTTGAAAATATATTTTCAACTATATTTACTGTGGTAGCTCTAAATTTTTCTATGTCGTAAGATGATTTTCTCGTCAAGGCCATGAATGTACATATATTACCATGCATATGGTGATGGATGGACGAATGTTACTAAGCATTCTTTTTACTTTTTTTTGTTTTTTGTTGAATTGAGAGCATTTTTCTGATAAAAAAAAAAGAGACAAGAAGAAAAGGAAAGAAAAAATAATAATAAAATAAGCTACCATCCAACTCTCTCTCTCTCTCTCTACATAATACACATTGTTCTCACAACTAAGAAGAAGTATCCTGCCCATAAATTTCTTGTAAAACAAGCACGTAGAATAAGGAAAAAAATGATTACGACACACACAAAATACAATATCTTGACCATATCTCAAGTAAAAGTAAACATCAGTACGATATAGGAATGAGAGACGCCGTTGATGATGTCAGTATGATCTCTAAGGTTACATTTTTGTGGTGGTTGTTGTTCTAAAGTTTAGTTACCAAACGGAATTTTTTCTTCTTTTTTTTCATTCTTCTTCAAACAGCAGCAAAAAAAAAGGTTTCACGATTACTCGTTCTATGTTGTGTGTTATTTACTTAAATCAAAACTCTATGTGTAGAACATACATATTTTTTCAAAAAAAAGAAAAAGAGTTTTCAACATCATAAACACAACGAAAGAATAACACTCACAAGGGTAATCTATATATTAAATCACACTTCTTTTCCTTCTTGTATCCATTTACATCTGCGATTATCTTGAATGCATCGTGTAAATAAGCGCGTACACACAGTAGCAGAAGAGGTAAGACGATATTAGAAGAAAATGTCAATATATACTTAGAATGGTGGTTAAATTGGTTAGATAACAATTAAAATAAAATAGTATAACACCTATTAAAAATTGTTTATGTGTGAAATAAGTGAAAATGAATTTGTACGAAGAATAAAAGTTAGAATAAAATTACGTAAAATTGTTATATAATGACATGTTTTCGCCTTCTTCCGATAGTAGAAGGAGAATCATTTTAATACACTTTTATTCTAATAATTGTATCGTTTTTCCTGAACCGAGTAGTTGAAAATTAGTTTTAGTAATGCTAGATGAATACCTTCTTTTGCACGATAGAGAAACTCTCAAAACTTTTCTAGAAGATCGTTTGTACGCCAAGTTTGAGGAAAAGGTGATCGTTTATAGTTTTGCTGTACTACCGAAAGAAAAGAATGTGCAAAGTGTGCGAGCGTCTCAAAACATTCACCACACTTTTATCTTCAATTTATGATATTCTCTCAAAAGCTCTGGACATATTTTTATTCGAAAACTATAAGAGAAACAAAATGAAGAAAAATCATTACGGAAGGACACTGCGCTAGCAGAATGACATGCTCAAGCCGTATGGTGAACGTTACTCGATTTTTCATTAGAATATTTGTTTTTTTATAGATAAAATCACGTCGAGTAGAACATAGATGATATTAATGAAACAAGTAGTTGAAAATTAGTTTTAGTAATGCTAAACGGCTACCTTCTTTTGCACGATAGAAAAAGTCTCAAAACTTTCTTAGAAGATTGTTTGTATGCCGAGTATGAGTGTAACTTTTCGTCTCATTTTACATACAATGCACACTTTAGGCTTTAAAACAACGTTGTGTATCTCGCTTATACCAAAGTATTTCAAAAAGAGAGCGAACAGTAATGAAAAAATGACGCTAATTACTATAAATTATATTTTAGTGTAGACAGGTTCTTCTGGTAAAAAAGGACAAGTGTATGTACGATTTGATATACGACTGAGTTTTATTGAGATGAGAATATTCTAAATAGTCTATCAGCAAGTACTACAGTTTGTTTTTAACCAAGTCCTATGCCAGTAGATCATCGTAGAGTGAATGACTAGACTACGTATTCTTTGTTTTTTATGTTTTTCTTTCAATAAATTATTCATGAAAACTTGGCATCTATGAGTAATGCAAAGAAGACACGTATGTTCTCAATTTGAAACACAATCATTATCGATAATAGATTAGAATACTTCCTCTCTCTTTCTTTTATGGTTGATAGAAATAAAATAAAATATTATGTTTGCTGACATTTTGTCGATGTACACAATATACATGACTCGTCTACTAGAATGATGAATCATTTTACAGTCAAATGATAAATTTTCATATTTTGTAAGAATAAATTCGTCTATCTATGAACATTAGAGAATAAATACAGATTCAGTTTCACCTAAATAAATGTGCTAGTCGTGATTCGGTAAGATGATGTATTTCCATCACAATTTTTCTTAATGAAACACCGACATCGTAGGACTAGATTTTTCAGGCCAAAAAACTGGAAAAACACTATTACGTAATATATATTTGAAAAGAAAATTCTCCCGGAGGAGACATCTAGTTTGAGAACACATATAATCTGTATAAAAAGTAGCTAGAATGGAAAATTCGTTTGTTTATAGTATCAAAAGTATTATGTAAATCATTTGTATCAGTTAAGTTTATAAATATTCCGTTTTTATAGCATTAGAATTAATAAAGTTCGAAACGTCGAAGTTTCTATTATCTAAACTATTAAGCTGTTTTATATAAATAATTTTTATTTTATGTTATGCTGTGTATCTTTTAAAATTCACAATCAGTTCAGATGTCGTTACCATATTACCGAAACATATTTTGCTTACGTTTGTATGAAATAAAACGTATTTTATTAGAACTTGATAACCTTTGACACTTTGTGCCACATTGCAATCTTTAACTATTTTCTGGCGTAGTTATGAAATGTAATAAGATAGAACTAATGTTCTGACTAATTTTTTAATTATATTTTCTTTTTAACAAAATTTCTTATCATTGTTGGTTGTATAAGTATAGTTGGTGCGCAGTTCTTCCAAAATTTTGTATATACGAAATTATAAAACAAGCAAACGAATTTTGAATACAAGCATATATTTTATAAGTGATTGCTACCCGTCGCGCACAAAGCGATCATTTTCTTTATAAGACTCTGACTATAGTCAAGGAAATAATGTTCACACATTCATCTCGACTACAAATTTCATGTCCTTCTCCGCATCACACATAACTCAAAAAAAAACAATCTAGTCAATAGTTGACAGCTGGAATGAGTTATATAGTAAATTCTTTTGATAGATGTCTGTCATCAGCTTGTCCACATCGCTCTGCTACTCCAGTGTCCTTCCATAATGATTTTTCTTCATTTTGTTTCTCTTATAGTTTTCGAATAAAAATATGTCCAGAGCTCCTGAGAGAATATCATAAATTGAAGATAAAAGTGTGGTGAATGTTTTGAGACGCTCGCACACTTTGCACATTCTTTCGGTAGTACTGTTCTGTTATGTTCTGTTCTTTCGGTAGTACAGCAAAAATATGAACGACTACCTTTTCGGGTAAGTTTTGAAAACTAGCAGTTTTTATTTTTGCCTTACTACCGAAAGAAAAGAATGTGCAAAGTGTGTGAGCGTCTCAAAACATTCACCACACTTTTATCTTCAATTTATGATATTCTCTCAGGAGCTCTGGACATATTTTTATTCGGAAACTATAAGAGAAACAAAATGAAGAAAAATCATTACGGAAAGACGCTGCGCTAGCAGAATGACGTGCTCAAGCCGTATGGTGAACGTTACTCGATTTTTCACTAGAATATTTGTTTTTTTTATAGATAAAAATCACGTCGAGTAGAACATGGATGATATTAATGAAACAAGTTTTGTTGTTGACGAAGTATCAAACGTGATTAAAGAAAGTATTGAGGCGACAATCGGTTCACAATCTTATCAACAAGCGAAAATAAATACATGGACATCAAATATCGTTGAAGCTATTCTAAATTCATTAACAAAATTAAATAAACCATTTAAATATATCGTTTCGTGTGTTATTATGCAAAAGAATGGTGCTGGTTTACATACGGCATCAAGTTGCTTTTGGGACAATTCAACCGATGGTATGTAGAAAAATAAGACGTCAAAAGATACTGCAGATCACAAATATAACATTTATTTTTCGATTCTATTTAGGTTCATGTACAGTTAGGTAAGCTAAAAACGGTAGTTTTTTCTGTTTATTGAAGGACTGTTTATTATTAAAATGAATCTATTTCTAGATGGGAAAACAAGACAATGTACTGTATAGTCTCGGTGTTTGGTCTGTCAATTTAAATCTGGCATTTAAGCATTGATGTACATAAAATGATCGTCAAAGTTCACTGACGAAATTGATACCAAGTACTTTATTTGATTAACCGTATCATAGTTATCTTTTTCATATTATTTAAATGTAAAATAAATGATGTCAATGTGTTTTTTCAACGCTTTTACATGTTCTGTCCATTTTCTGCTATCATCGTTTCTGAAAATTTTAGAAACAACAAATTAGATTTGTCTATTTAATTTAATAGACATTTGTATAAATTTCATAGTTCCTTTTCTTATCTTGATGTCACAATGGTCACATCACTCACTATCTACTTTCATAGATCTTCGACATTTTTGTTGTGATTTCTTTTTAAGAACGGTGAAAATTAGTTTTCTGTCAGAAAACAATTTTTGAATTGAGATGACGAACAGTCTTTTTTTTATATGTAAAATCCGTAAGAGAAAGATATGGAACTAAAATAAATGCTAATATTGGAAGATCAAATTAAAATCATTATCTGATAACAGAATGCACTTGAAACTTGTAGTTCGGCAGGGTTGAGAACTAATAAATGGCTGTGTAAAAAGAAATCTGACAGAAAAAGTCTCAGTGCTGCCCTGCCAGCAGACATTGGTGAGTATGGTATGTTGTGGATCACTATCACTGACTGCCACCAGTACTCAACAAATGCCGAACCAGTACCGATTAGCAACGTTTTTATCAGTGTAAAATAAAAAAGTGGTGGTGAAAACTGACTGTAAGAACATATCCGATAAGCAGCCACGAGTACGAGTATGCATAATAAGAAGAATACATGGATTCGATTTAACTGTAAAAACTCCTATCCCAACATTTCGTATGGTAATAGAATGATCACATCATTCTTTGGCCTATTAGAAAGTCTATCGCTTATTATGCAGAGGAATTTCATCATTATCGTCTATAATCGTACATCAGAAATAAAGTCCAAGAAAAAAGAATAAATTAAGCTGAGCTTGTTTCTGTCTATCCACCAGACAATAAGGAGATGGTACACATTGTCTTTCGTGCAAGCAATAGTTCAATTTAGGAAAACCTATTCTAAGGTGCATGAAAGCCTTTTCCAAAAATCTTGAAGAAAACTCAATGTGTTTGATAACGTTACCCGACCGTGAAATATTTATTTTTGCAAACAAAGCTACTCTTAATTTGTACGGCTTTAGAATACGTGTATTTATAGGTAAAAACTTCTTTTAATGTATTGAAAAAGAATTATGCTTGTCTGTAACTTCGAGAATTTCTTGATCGTTGGCTATTTATAGGACGCCGGCGTAGACGTTCAGTTAAATATGAAGGAGCCATGTCGCGCATTATTCTACTCAAGGTAATTAAACGAAGTATTTGGAAATGTTCTCTCGACGTTGGCCATCCTAAGACTTGTAACGCACGCGTCTCGGATGAACCCTCCATAATACCAAGAATTGTTTGAGCAGCGTGTTGAAAATAGAATACGACCTCGATTACACAGTTTGTCAATATGGAGATTCCAGGTCATGTCCTGTGATAGGTAGTCCTATATATTCCACTTGATGCAGTTTATTCAGTGCTTTTCTATCCAAGAGAAGGGGTAGCAAGCTGTCAGCCTGTGTCCAGTAATACTTGTTTGAGAAAGTAATTGATTCACATCTGTTGAAATTAAGTGGCATATTCCACTTAATTGAGATTAGAGCCCTGTAGGTCACGCATAACTTGTCCTGTCCTGACAGGTTAGGACAGGTTTAGGTTACGACCTCACAGTTCAGGATAGGTTACAGGTTACGAAAATTTTTACAGGACAGATTACAGATTACATTACCCATACCCTTTTTACCCTGTTTTCAACCTGTAAAAAAAATATTAAGCGCCATCTGTAAAGAGGAAAAAATAAGAACTCGAAAATCAGTTTTTATTAGTCAAAAAAATATTTAGTGCGTCAGGAAGAGTATTAGAAACACGACGACAGTCGTTGAATCCAGATGTTGTTGACGATGTATTATTCATCAGAAAGTTCAGAAATGTGTGATCTGTTGTTGTTGTTGTTTTTTGCTGCATAAATAAAGTAAATGAAAAAAATTTACTTTATTAGAAAAAATTTTCGAACTTGAGTACTCATTTTTTTGCAGTCATTTTCTCGCAGGACAGAACAGGTTACACAAAAAATATTACAGGTTAGGACAGGTTACAAGTTACGAAATATAAGGTTATAAAAGGTTATACATTGTTAAAGTTTTTAGAGGACAGTTTATAGGTTGTGAAAAAGTTGTAACCTGCAGGGCTCTAATTGGAATATGCCACTTATCCGGCTATTCTTTGATTTTTTCTTAGTTTTAGTTAAGTGTGTTTGTTGCATCTATTACGTTCTCACCATGTTCCAGCAGTATTATATCATCTGCGAACAGCTTTATGTTACTCTCAATGTCTAGTGTAACATCATCGATATAAATAAGAAAAAGGAAAGGAGCTAACACGGAGCCCTACAGAACTCCTTTAGTAATTGAATGACAAGTAGATGATACACCTTCTACAACAGTTCTTATTGTTCTTTCGCTCAAATAGCTTCAAAATCATTGTATCATTTTTTCCTTTTATACCTTTCTTTTCCAATTTTAGTAGCAAACCTTCATGACTAACATTATCAGAGGCTGTCTTGAAGTCTAAGAGTACTGCACCAACAAACTTGTCCTTTTTCATTCCTTTATTGATTATATTTACCACTTTTAATAGTAGAGTATTCTTCTTTCCCAGCTCTTCTTTTTGCTTTTTTTCTCACATGAAACTACTGTGAAAGACTTTTCTGTAATCGCATGCATAAAATAATTCCTTTAACACAAAAGATAATTAACGTTCTCTTACCCTTACGAAAAATAAGTTATTAAGTAATATTGTTCTGATCGATAATTCACTAGCATATTAAAGGAGATGAACAGACAGTAAGGGGACACGTCCTATATCCTGATCGGGATATAAAGAAAAATTTTGCTGAAAGAAGATTCCTGATCGGGATATGTTTCCACACTGACAAAGAGTCAGTAAATCATAAGTAGTAAAGCTTTGGTATACCGAACACTACGAATGTTATTGATTAATGTATCTTAACTCAAAAAAGATTACCAGACTTTATTATTATCTATAACTATCGTTACGAAATCGCATTTTGTCTCCAACATACAGATTATACCTAACAGTTACTTACTGACTCTCTATAGCGAGATAAGAGCATACGGTCGGGTTATCGACAGATCTGTTATAGACTGATGCGCTTTGGATCAGTCATAAATAATTACAGCTGTCCGATTGATCCTTCTAAGAATGAATCCGCTTTTTTTTGTTCTTACACGATTGTATTTGATAGGGTCCTGTCGTTATAATGTATCGTTAGTATACCGTTGTTCTCTCAAATTGGCTCCACTTAGAATCACAGAATATATGAATGTTTCTCGCTCCTAGCCTGAAAATCATTGTGATAAGTGTATTTCGGATTAAAACAGACATCAAGAGGGTTGGTAGATGTTACACCGATTTTATGATTTACCGAACGTTTACATATCGTACATTCTATTGAAGATTTTCCATCGGAATATTCTTTATAATTAAGGAAAAAATTTTCAACACACGACTGTGACTTTCTTTTTTTTATCGATTTATTCTTGACAATTCGTAAGACAGAAATAGTATTTGCTGGATTAGAAGAATTTGATTCTGCCATTTCAAGATTGAAAAGACTATACGACGGAAAAATTTTGAGACAAAATGACTGTTTTACACTTTCTGTATATTGTCGACATACGTGCAGATGATAGATTCAATAGATGCCTATCAGGTTAAGCACATGTTTTCATATTTCACACGAAGCATGCTTTAGAAGAAATGTATTAAAACGTATAGGTTTGATATAATGACGAAAAAAAGTAGAAAAATTTCGGTTAGGACAGTTTCGAACCGGAGTTGAAATTGAGAGTAACACAATTCCAACCTAATAAAAACGTAATTTGAACTCAACTCTAATTCCAACTCCGTTAAAAAACCTCTCAACTCTGGACTTGAAGGTGTCCATCTCTGTCTGTTGCCATATGTTTGCTCTTCCATCTATTAATAAAGGCAGCATGAAAATGTAGTGAATTTCCAGCGTAATTTTATTTCTTGGTGTTAAATGAACAGCTATTCATTCATCGCCTGTTTTTTGCTCTTATTTAAAATAAATCAACACATTTATTTATTTATTTATTTTGTCAAAGGATACAACAAAAAAGAAAAAAAACTACAATAACAGCTAAGTTGTCCGGCTTGTTTCTGTTTTATAATACGTAGAATTTAAATATGGTAAAGAGACGCGCGTGCAGACACACACACACGCGCACGCATAATGGTATTTTTAATAATAACTGAAAAAAAGTATAAAAAAACAAACAACAATAGCAACAAATTGTTTCTAAAAAAAAGAGAGAATGTGTAAACACCTTCATTTTATCAAGAAAAAAAACGTCCAGCAGATCTTGGAATGTTTGATCCTGCACGGGGATACGAGAATAAATGACAAAGATGAACAAAAAAAGGACATTTTTTTAAATTTAATACGAGAGTTTAAATATAACTGAAAAACTGTGTCCTAGTTTTGTCGACTCGTTTCCTCTTCATCACCAGGTCAAAGAAAAAAAAAATCACAAGACAAAAACAAGAAAATTGTTTGATTAAAAATTGCTCATCATTTTCGATTGCCTATGATGTGTTAGAACGATGCATGACAGCTTTTCATATTTATTTTCTAATTGATTTCGATTTTAATTGTCCTTTTTTCACTTGTGGTTTATTTAAAATAACACCTTGTTTACGTTGGGTCGATTTACTACTTTTTTGTGAATATATCGATTTTCGTCGTAATACTTGTCTTAATGCATTTTTAGCTTGTAAACGATTTTTTAATTTTTTAACTTTATAAATGCGTACAATCCAATGTTCAGTAGTGTATGCTTCATCAACATATTCTAAATCAAAATTTTTATTTCCAATTTCAACATTACGTGTACGATCAAAGCTAAAAGAAACAAAAACACATTACACACAGATTGATTTTCATTTTAATAAGACAATGTATTTACTTACCCAGGTGGTGTTCGAAAATCCGATTGTAATTCACCAAAACGGTAATAACATAATTTATACATTAGACAATTTAATAATACTGGTGAACCGGCTGAATCCACACGAAATTCACCATTTTCAGTAAAATAATCTTGCTCCCGAATATCTTTTGGATGTTCACCTTCAGCAATTCGTACCATCCACAAAAATTTATTAATATCATCTCCGGAATAACCGATCACACCACCAAATATGACCAAAATATAATCGACATCTAACATTTGCATAATTTTATACGCCTCCGTTTCATTAGATGACATTGCTTTGCCAACCAACGCAATGTGACTATTATTCCATGTATTATTATCAACTAACGTTGTCCGATTGCCCATACCAGCTACGATAATATAAATGACACGAGTTATTTCATTTACAAATTATAGTGTCTTTTTTGATTTACCTATTTGATAGCCATAATCCCACCAAGACATTACACGAGAACGATCGGGAGTATTTTTACGTAACCAATAGTAGGCTTCACGAAAATCATCTAAACACAAATAAAAAAGAAATAGTTAACATTAAATATAAAATAAGCAATAAGAGAATGTCGTTTTAAAAAGATGGTGAATTGGTCTTGGCTAATATCTAGCAAAAAGCTTTCGCAACTAGTGATGAGATATTGAAATATTATGGTTCGAGAATTGTAATAGTACTTATCTATTGAAATTAGGAGTTTTTTATATAACAATATCGATTAACAATCTAATCAACCAGTTTTTGGCTTGGTATTATCTTTTCAAAACTTTGGTCAGTGTGACAATACTATCGCTCATAATTCATAATTAACACCGATGTGTTTAAATCAATTACCTATAATATATCTTGAGCCATCTTGATTATAACTTGCCAACACGATTGAAGGTGATGAATAAGCATTTGATGTTACCCATGTACAATGAACAGCAAATAACATTAACATCATTGCTATACATATAACAACGATCGTTTTTATATTAGAACTGATAATATCAGGATCTTCATTAGCGTCTGTTGCAGTTGCACTCGTTGTTGTCAATTGTTGACGAGATCTACTACCAGTTGTCGTCCCGCTTGTAGTCGATAGTGATTTTGCTTTTCCCGCTTTATCATATAATTGGCGGCTTGTTGTTTCACTATTATCATCCTCATCATTATCAACTGTATCATCAACATCATCAGCTGATGCCGCAGCTGAAGTATTATTCTCTCGAGAATCCGTATCCGCATAATAATCTAATGTTTTTGATAATGCAATAGCAGCTAAATGGAACAGATCAGTGTTACGGTGTCGAATACTGACGAACTGTAAGATATTAATAGGATAGACCTTGTATTATCATATGCGAAACTAACTGGCTATCCTTGACACTTAAAACTAGGAATATCTGAATTATCGATACATTTTAATTTTTAAACATGAACTAATTGTAATACTCTTGATTTAAATATCTAATATCAACCTAGCTGTTTTATGTTCCTGGTCATTATATGTAAGCTACCGTTACAAGAACTTTTTTTCTTATCTTACCTAGCACACAGACACAAGGCGTTAGTGTTAACATTAAACGAATCATGACACCGGCAAAATAGGATGCAAATACGGCATAGAGAACGATAAATACTCGTTCATCGTTTAATTCTTTAATACAAAACCACGCTCCAACAGGAAATAAGCATATCAATAAATGTAAATCGAAAAAAAATGATGTCCATGTCGTTGGTTGATGTTCACTAACACTGGCTATAATTGGAATGTGTATTTTAGCATAATTTGTATCCCATAATGAATAAAATCGGCCACTCCATGGTGCGATATACCTAAAAGAAGTTAACATGCAAAAGTGCACGTTATCGTTTAACTAATTTTTTTTCGTTATAGCATACCCTGTATATGTTAAGATAACAACAACGAAAAGTACCAGTGCACCAACGGCTAGAATAAGACCGAAAAACAGTTGTTTTAAATCATTTGCACGAGGTATTTTTGTATACAGATAATCAATGCAACCATAGGCTTGTATCAAAGCAAAAACACCAGCAGCTAACATATGTTCTGATGTGCGAACAGGCTGAAATCCTACGAATGGTATTTGCATAGATAAAATGAGACCAATAATGAAAAATATTGAATATGAAACGTATAAACGTAATGAATAACGTTTGAGAACAATTAGCACAAATGCATGTACGGGTATCAGATTGATGATAAATACATAACCACCCCATGCAGAGACCATATAAAAATATGATAATGCTGTACAACATGACCAAAAGATGCTGCCGGTTTTCACTGATTTAATCCACAAAAAATAGGTAAACATGAGAGCAAATATGGCTATACCTACAAAAAAGAGAAAAAAAACACATGATCGTCAAGAACAATGTGAAGATATTCTATCTGTTACCTTCGTTATCATATGAACCGGCTACCGATCGTGAACTATAACCTGGTGCAACAGCAATAAAAGCAGCAGCAAACAATCCCGCTGATTTTGACCATAGTTCTTTTGTTAATAAATATGTGGCTAATGCTGTGAGTCCACTAAAAAATGGTGCTAAAAATACACATATTTCTCGAATATGTATTGGGATATTAATCATATGTAATAACCAATGTATCACACCACTTGTAACCATAAGACCCGGATAGACAGTTCCACCAACAATTCTTCCCAAAGGATACCACGCTCGATCATCAAACCAATTTAAAAAATTATAAAAACCATTTTCAACCATATAATGGGTAGCACGATAATTGAACCATGGATCAAATTCATGAATTATCGATTCAAAACGGATCACAGAGAACAGACGTGACATGAAACCAGATATGTAAGCACATGTTAACACGACGAAACTGATTAACGATGCTATTCCAGCTGGTGATAATAATGTACTTGTCTGCGACGAAGAGGAATGTGAAGCGGATGAATTTTTCCTATGCGACGATTTTTGGGCAGTCACTGAAGGTGTAGACGATGTTATATTAGTAGTAGTTATTACTTGTTTCGTAACCTCGTGTGATGTCTCCATCTGGAAAATGAACAAAATTAACGTTAAGAAAACAAAAAAAATTTTCTTTTAGTTAAATGAATGCCTTTCACTCAAACTTTTCTGAGCTCATTCAGTGACCAAATTTCAGCTCGTTTTTTTCCATAATTGTGCATCTTTCTGAATATTGTTGTTGCAAAAAAACTATAATCGTATTAATACTTGAAAAAACAAAAACTTTCTTACTGATATGTATAAAAACCTATGGAACAATTACGAACGTGAACAATGACACGTAGATCTCTTGTTTCTTCTGCTGATTCAGTTTATATTTGAATGACTTACACGAAAAAAAGCAAATATTCAAGAAAATAAGTGGCTTATAATAAGTGATTATGCTAGAGACACCTATGACTGTTCCAAATCGTATACTATTTGTGAACGCATACTTGTTGTCTTGGATAGAACGTGTAATTGCGTCAGATATTTGTTGTTGTTTTTTTAATTTTTAGAAAAAACAAGGCAATAAACTCTTTTCTTTGTTCAACTCATATCATCAGAGCATGTAGAGTCGAATTCGCTCGACACACACAGATCCAGTTTGTAGACCGTAGCTTCAGTATCTCTTGCATACTGCCTGATAAACAGAGACACAAATAACAGGAGGGTGTGGGAGGATGCACACACCCCGAATAATTGAAAAAGCTGCTGTTATTTTATCCATTACTCCTCGCACTTTTTTTTAATCAATTTCACACTACCTCAGAGAAATTTTGATTTACACCCCCCCCTAATGTTCGACTTCTATTTGCGGCCCTGGATAAACATTCCCAGTGTATCTTAGAGCAAAGTAGAAAATGTCGCATTCATTCCACTGCTCGGTAAAACACGAGTGTATTTCCAAAATCTGATGAATCACCTATTCACTTCCTTTCTCTGTTTTCAAGATTTAACAAACAATGAATACATAACGAGCAATAGCTTTGGTTTGTCTACTCCCTAATATTCCATTTTATTTAGTCACTTGTTCGATGAAGTCGATCAGACATGGTTGAGAATACAGAAAAGAGATCGGGAATTAAATATTTAGTTCATTAAAGATTTAGTACAGAGATGTACAAAAGAAGAAAAGTCAGTGAATAAAAGAAAGAACAGCATTACAAAAACTACTATATTACTTTCTTTCTCTTCTCTTGTTATATTATGTCTTTCTGTGGATCAATAACATTGGCAACCAATAGACCACATATAAAGCACTTTTGATCGTAAATGGAGAAGTTATAATCTATATGAAGTAATGAGACACTTGATTTTGAACTGTCGAAGAGATGTGTATTCCATTTAGAGCGCTTCTTTAACAAAACTAAAATTTCGACGTCGCTAACTAGAAACTGTTATATATAGTAGCACCCTCTACTTTTATACGACAGTATCATCCAAGTAAATTTGAGGCATCCTCTATGACGTTATACTCACTGTCAAAAAAGTTCAGTTGTACTTTTAGATTCCTAGCGCAGAAAGTGTACCCTACAAAAAAAAATTTTCTCGGCACTGCCCAGGGCGACCAAAACGGATATTCGTTACGGACCGTCTACTAGACGCAGGAACACGGACCGTAACATCATTAAAATAGAGCCGTATACGGACGTATTTTCAGAGTTTAAGACCCCGTTTTAGTGTGAGCAAATACGGTAAGGTTTACGGG